TAGCATTTCTGCCGGTGATTTACCATTCGCCGTAGGAGTTGACCGAAATGTCATTAGAAATCGTTGTAGTCGTGTATCTAGGTCGTCACCTTCTGTTCCCATTGCTTTCATTTTAGCTTTAAAATGACCGACATATCGCTCAGCGAGACCGTTTGTCTCCGGATGGCCTGGAGCTGAACGAGTGTGTGCGATTCCATTTTTCTGGAGAAACGAGGTAAATTCAGCACTAGTGAACTGGGTCCCATTATCACTAACGATGTGAGTGGGTAGACCGAATGTGGCAAACAAACGTCTCAAAGCTTTGATAGTACCCGTTGATGTGGCATGTGTCATCGGGACAATTTCCAGATATTTCGTATACGCATCGACAATCACCAGAAACATTTTGCCCATGAATGGACCCGCAAAGTCTATGTGCAGACGACGCCATGGACCCGACGGCCATGACCAGGTAGCATAGGATTTACTAGGTTTGCGTGCCTGTTCTTGACACGTAGCGCACATTTTGGTGGTATCTTCAATTTCGTCATCCATCTTTGGCCACCAGAAATATCGACGTGCCATACGTTTCATTCGTACAGCGCCTGTGTGTTCCGAGTGCAATTCACTCAAGAGCATCGCGCGCAAAGCCATGGGGATTACCACTCGTTCATTCCAGAGTAATACATCATTTACAATAGATAGTTCCCAGCGCTTTACAAAGTACGGCTGTAACTCCACCTCTTTCACATGCTCTGGCCAACCATTCAAAGTGTAGTGACGAACACGCTCTAGAACTGGATCATCTCCAGTGGCATTCAATACAACTTGAGCATCAATGAGCTCGTCCTCAATGAAAAGTACACGTGTTTCACCTAGTTCCGGGGTAGAAGGATTTCCAGAAATTGGTTTTCTAGACATGAAATCTGCCAGAACATTTGCCTTTCCCGCAATGTGTTGGATGGTGTAGTCATACGCTGAAAGTAATAACTTCCATTTCTTTAATCTGGAAGAAACCAGGAACGGAACACCTTCCTGCATGCCGAACAATTTCACCAGAGGTTTGTGATCAGTTTCAAGGACAAATTTCTTTCCCAGGAGATATTGGCGAAATTTGGTTGCACCAAACACAAGAGCGAGTGACTCCCGTTCAATATTTGAATAGTTTCTCTCCGCTTTATTCAACAGACGAGACGCATACGAAATGGGTTGGTAATCACCATTTTCGTTTTTCTGTAAAAGAACCGCACCAAGACCCGTTCCTGATGCGTCGCATTGCAAGACATGCTCCAGACCCGCCGAATAGTGCGCCAAAACCTCCGTGGAACATAAAGCATTCTTTATCGTAAGGAACGCTGTCTGTTCAGAATCTGACCATCTCCAAACAGTATCTTTCTTTAGCAGAGCGTAAAGTGGCGCCATAATCCGAGCAAAATTGGGTATGAATTTGCGAACATAATTCGCAGACCCAATAAACGATTGAAGCTCACTAACGGACGTAGGAGCATTGGCATTAACCATAGCATCGATTCTTCCTGGCGAAGGCGCCATACCACTCGCACTCAAAGTATGACCAAGGTACGAGACTTGCGGTAGCATGAACTCGGTTTTCGTGGCTTTCAAACGCATTCCCGCATCTTGTAGCCGCTGCAAAACCATTTCCAGATTTCTTTTGTGCTCTGCATCATTTCGACCTGTGACTAGAATATCATCTACATACACAATGCAGCCATCGATACCCGCCAGGAGAGTCTCCATAGTACGCTGAAATATGGAGACTGCTGAATGAATGCCAAACGGTAGACGTACATATTCAAACAGACCACGGTGGGTATTGATTGTAGTATACCCCCTCGACTTAGGATCAAGCTCTAGCTGGTGGTACGCCTGAGATAAATCAAGCTTCGTAAACTTCTGCCCACCATTCAACTTGGCACGAATTTCGTCTATGGTAGGTAACGGATATTTTTCTAAATCCGAATTAGCATTGATGGTGCGCGAGTAATCAGCACAGATACGTACATTTCCGTCTGGTTTTTGAACCGGAACCGTAGGTGAAGCCCATTTCGAAAATTCAACTTTGCGTATTACACCTTCCTCCTCCAGTTTAGAGAGGCCTTGCTCGTATTTCTCCCGGATTGCAAATGGTACTGAACGAGCCTTCATGTACACAGGTTTTGAATCATTTACACGCAAAGTGACCTGAGTTGAATTTAATTTGCCGACAGTTGACGTGTCAAACAAACTCTCAAATTTCTGAAGCATTTCCTCCTGCAGCTTTGCGCGTATAAGAGCATTATCAATTTCAGACTTCACCGAGAATATTTCCCTCCATTCTAGTTTGAAAAGTGAGAGAAGATCTCTGCCCAACAGAGATGGACCATTTGTATCGACAATGCGCAAGAGAACAGTGTGCTTTTGCCCATTTATTGACACTGGAAATTTCCCTTCGCCTAAACAGGGGATGATGGAACCGGAAAACCCAATGAGCTGGACTGATTGAGTTACAAGAGACGACACTGGTGCACCCAATTTCTCGTAATCAGATTTGGTGATGATGGATACAGCACTACCTGTATCGATTTCCATGCAAATTGGTGAACAAACATCATTGATTTCCGCCATTACAGTATACGGAGGGTGTTTTCCACTACCCGATCGAATCTTGTAGATAGGCATATCATCAACATCACAATCAGAAACGATCTCACCTCGATCATCAGGTTCGTCATCCACGTGGTGAATTTCACCTCGTTTCTGCTTGGTGATGCAGGCTCTTTCGAGATGTCCTCGTTTCTTGCAGTATCGACAAGTAGTAGATCGATGAGGACACTTGTCAGCCATATGTAAATCAGATGTACAACGATAACAAACCTTGCCCTTCGTCGACTTTGACCCTTTCTGGTCCTGCGAGTGATTTGGCTTTCTAGATGCACTTGCGGACTTGGATTTACTGGTAGTGGTAGCTCTCATCTTGTTGACTGACTCGGACGGCGTAGATGTTGATCTAGTACTAGTAGTAGTACCTGGAGTAAGCTGCTCAGCAATGATGATGGCGCGCTCCTCCCGTAAAGCGATATCCAGCACATCCTGAAACTTCTTCGTCTTGCTGTCAGGACTAGTCAGAATCGTCCGCTTGATCTCCTGACTGTAGACTCCTGCCATAAATTGATCTTTTAGGGATCTGTCTAAATGCGACCCAAAGTCGCAGGCTACTGCCGCACGTTTCAAACGATTTGCGTAATCTACCAGCTTTTCCGCTGGTCTCTGGTTGCAATCGCGAAATTGAAAAGAAGAAGTCATCGTGGAACGCTCCACTCTGTAATATCCATTCAGTAGGTCACAAATCTGCTCGAAGGTCTTGTCCGATATTGACTCCGGCAGACAGAGGTTCCGCAAAGTGGAGTAGACGTCTTTCGACAGTGAAGAGATTAGATGTGCAATCATCTTCTTACGTACGCGTTCTTTCTCCGATGAGTTTGCACTGGCTGAAACAACACCGATGTCATTTGCGAGAAAATAAAACTCAAGCCGTTCCCGGTACTCCGCAAAGTCCCCGCCAGAAAACTGCTCCAGGGTGGCCTTCCCTGAAGAGGCCATGGTTTACCAAATTCTCGCAAGCACTCAACTAAACAAATTATCTCAAAACAAAATTTTCATCTTCGTCGCCATTTGTTGTGTATCCACGTACACCCTACATGCAGTCTCACACGCAGCTCACCAGAGTCAACCAGCCGGCATGGATACATGTAGAGTAAGACCATGATTCAGAGCATGCGCAATGAGTATATACAAATGCATACAGAGTACATAATATATTACATCAGAGTGCATATATAACAAAGTGCGTACTACCAGAACCGGTCGCCGCGTCCGTGCACCAACCCGGTTAGATTTGTAATCCCCAGGAAGTCCTTTGGTGGGGAGTGATGTTGTGCAACGAGTGCCATATAGTAATAAAAGGACTTGAGAACTTGGGCAGGCAGGCACTCGGTGTTTCTAGTTGATTTATTTGTGTTTCGATTTATTTGCATTTATTTGGCACGGCTACGCGGACGCTACTAGTCGCGTACCCTTATGCAGATCGGTCTACTTTTTGAGTGCATGTGGTGTCCTTATTTTGATGCATGTAGGTTAGTGCAGTACGGTGGCTTTGTTTGCGCTGCTGCGGGTGCGCTGTAGGTGCACTTGTACGTGCACGTTCGGCTGAGGAGAGCGTTTGGGCTTTCGCTTGCGCTGCTTGGTTATTCGATGTTTTTTTCCTTTTCTGGTTGTTGTTGTTCCTTCCGTGATGAACGGATAGTCTTTCTTTCTCTCTTGTTTCACCTATATTCATATTTCTTGCAATGTATAATATCACCCCACTGGTTTGTGTGAGCTTGTAGTCGGTTGGACCACAGACATTATAGCGTAATTTGTACTTCCTTGGTCCTTTTTCTTTTCTATAAATTTATCCTTGGCTCTCCGTCCGAGTCCATACGATCACTTAAAAGTGACGTATGGAGCAGAGAGACCGTGTTTTGAGTGTGTGAGTTGACCCTGAGGTGAAAGAAAACAAATCATCTCGTGATAAAAACTGCAAGAGGCCCACCAATGACGAGGACCATGGCATTTTCCTAAGGATTTTTTTCTTGAGCGTTTACATAGGATTCTCATCAAAAGAGAACTCAGCTAACAAATGAGCTGCTCCTAATAATTATTAGGTCCATATCTCCCGTACATTATTTCCCCGCACATCATTTCCCATGCACCCCGCACACATAGCTTTCTGGCAAGTGACGTTCCATTGGGCCTGGGTAACTACTGTTCACGTGTTCATGATCCGTATTTGCTGTAGCTGCCCAGGCACTATAAGTTATCTAGCTCTACTTTGCTCTCTTTCTTGCTCTCTCTCTCTCTCCCTTTTGCGAATGTGCGCACACGGGTGTGTATGTGTGTGTGTGTTGGTGTGTGTGTGTGTGGGCACGCACGCACGCGTGCATGCGCATGTATGCACGTGGTGGGTGCGCTCTCCATTCCAGTGGCACTCCTACTTTCTGCAAGCGCAATAGATTCAAGGCTGCTTCAAGCCTCGCACACGATAACCCAGATAGTCAGCCAGTATTACCCCGGAAACAGAACTCTTATCAAAGAGATTGAGAGCACAAGCCCAGGCAATGTGACTTTTTACCTGCCACCCCTGACTTTTCAACTGAATCAGCCAGGTTATGGTTACTACCGACTGCAGGTGATTGGGACCAATTATGAGGGATTTCGGCGCACACTCTACTCCAGAGACTACCAACGGTACCGGCAGCGTGAGTTTCAAAGCAGCATTTTTTCTTCTTGTGCATTCTCTGAAAGGTAGAGTTCATGGTAGGTATATCCTAACTTCCCCGAAATTGCATCCAGGAATTAGAAATGGATTCTGTAGCGCAATAGCGTGGAGCAGCTTTTGCGCTTTACATAAAGCGGCTCAAAGATATTTCTGAGGATGGATGTCACTCTCATGGTGGCATGCTTAGCTCGGCACAGCCTGCAAGTTATGATCGTGATCAACTGGTCAAAGCTCAGCTCCCCTAGCTGCCAGCTGTATTTTCACAGTCAGTTGTTGCTGTTTTATGTTGTTGTTGCCGTTGTCGTTGTTGTCGCCATTGTGTGTGTGTGGGGGGGGGGGTGTTTGTTTCTTGGTGTGTGTGTGTGTGTGTGTGTGTGTGTGTGTGTGTGTGCATGTGTGTGTGTGTGTGTGCATGTGTGTGTGTGTGTGTGTGTGTGTGTGTGTGTGTGTGTGTATGTATGGAAACAGGTCCACTTACGGTATACTTTATTTTGTGTGTGTGTGTGTGTGTGT